GATGTCGAGAAACAACAAGTAATTTTCAGATATAAAATTAATGTTTCTAAAATTGTTAAAGTTTAAATTAAAACAAAATGTTGAAATTTCATATTTATCTGACAGTATGTAATTATGATAGCACATTCTCTCTTCTGATTCATTCTCTTAAAGTGAAATAGACAGTAATTTATGAAAAACTAGTGATTTCTGATGTAGCTTTCAACTACCAGTGAGAATAATGTCCAGGATTTGGAATTTATAGCTGGCTATACCTAATTTCAGCGTATATACAAGCGAAGAATTTCTCCTTAAAGAATGAATACCTTGTGAGAGGCACCTTATCTGTTAAGTGCCCCTATCTTCTTTTTATTCTAAAACTACTCTCTTCTGCCTCAGAAGGATTTTGTTTGGCGGAATGAAGAAGGCCTCACCATAAAACAGGCGAGCTTCATCTCTTTTTAAAATTCAAGAATTATTTCTGCTGAAAATAATATAGTTATGATCAGTATTTGTGCTGGTTGATCTGATTTACTAGTGAGTTTGTTTCATGTATGTGTGTATGCCATTTTCTCTCCCAAACTTTACTATACTATTTAATATACACTATTCCTATGATATAGCTATTATTTACTAGTTATAGCTTAAAATAATTTTTCTGAGATAGCCAGGCATTACAAAGTAGATTCTCCAATGTATAATACATATCTTATAAAATGGAGGTTAGAAGTAATTCTTATTATTATTGTATCCATTTTAATATGATGATGATGATGATGATTACAAAAGTAATAGCTACTATTTTTTGATGTGTCAGTGTAGAGCTAGAGCTAGGGTCTGGAGCAATGGAGGTTAGAAGTAATTCTTATTATTATTGTATCCATTTTAATATGATGATGATGATGATTACAAAAGTAATAGCTACTATTTTTTGATGTGTCAGTGTAGAGCTAGAGCTAGGGTCTGGAGCGCACAGACCCCTCGAGCCCATTCACAAACCCTTCACATGCAGGTCTATGAGCTAGGTAACTGGCAAAAAAGTCCTCACAGCCTTGGTTGAAGTAGGAATAGTCTTTATTCAGCACACACAGCACTATGAGCTAGGCAGTACAAAGAGAAACTCAGAAACTCAACTGCTACTGGCAAAGTCCAAAGAAAAACTGAAACTGAGCAGCTGCCAGTGGAGTAAACATGCTCTCTTGTTAGGCACAAGCTCTCTGCCACCAGCCTGCTTCACAAACTGCAGAACACACAATAGCTACAAAACTAGAAAGATACATTGGCACACATGTGCACTAACTCCACCCTCACACAACCTGATTACAAGAAATGTCAAGGGAGCCTGACCAAATTATCCTGTTTTCCCCAAAATCCACCCCTTCAGGGTCCCTCACCTTACAATCTATGCATTGAAAATCTTCCACAATGTTCTCTTAGCAAGGATAAATGACTTGTTTATTTATACAACCTATTGTCTGTTCAGTATGCCATAAGGCTTGTCCCATAGTGCTGTCCTTTAGTTGCATATGTCCAGTTAGTAGTCATCATCGGTGTGATTTTCCATGGGAATCTTGTAGTCATACTGTTGTGAAGTTCAGTGCCTGTTTGGCAGATGATCATGCCAATGTATGTATGTACCCAGTCGACTCTGTTGCAGTGCCTGGAATACTATGGGTAAAAAGACAGAAAGGTTATTGGTACCAATAGGGGAAGCTCTTGCTCCTCTGGCAAGATACATGCCAGCTTGCCATCCTGAGAAAGATGGCCACAGGAATAGGCACCTCACCAGTCTTGCAGCCAGAATGCTGCCTTCTCCAACGTAGCCACCCAGCCACATCAGCTGCTGGAGCTGTCTCCAGCCATCTTACCTTAGCAACGCCTTCATCACTGTCAATTCAACATGAGTCCTCCGGTCCTTGCCTGCCTCCAAAAGATGAGTACCTTGGCCTGCTGAACAGTTCATCCGCCTCCTTGGGAGCAACAAAAAGGCTAAATCCACTGAACATACCTTGCTACCTGTTTCCAGACATTTAGTAAAATGCAGTTCAGGGCGCAATTGCTGCCACAAGGCAAAAAGAACTGCATTTGGCTGCTGGTCAACTTTCTTTTTATCAACCCCTGCTGCAAGCAAATCAAGCCATGTCTGCTTACGGCTAGTCTTGCTTGGTCCCTTTGGGATAAAATCCTGAGTATTTCTTCGGGTTTGCTCTTAGCCACCTTTCGGACCCCTTGTTCTTGTCTTCTATCCTCTTCTTCACCCAAGCTGGCTATCACGGTTGTTACCTCATGTATAGGATGACCAATGCATGGGGCCAGTATGGCCATCAGCGACCCAAAGGACGTTGACAGGGCATTCTGCAGCACTATGTCTCTCATACTGCCTGTAAAATTTTTATCATCCCGGGCCATGAGTGTTCACATTAAACATGGACTGCCGCATCCCCAGCTCTCAAATTATTTGAACTCAGCATATGTTTGCCATTTACTAACAATCTTGGGCAGTTCTCCAGCATTTGCCCACATGATTTGAGCAGCTGCACTCACCCATTCCATTAAGGAGTGATTACCTGGCCCTGGTGCATACCTGTGGCTATTTTGCAGCCACTGCTTCAGGGACGGGTGCATGGTGATGGAGCCCAATTTTTCCATCTCCTCACCAGAGTATATCACACTATCCACCTCTAGGTTCCATAACTGCAACAGCCAAGCAGCCAGGGGCTCACCCTGTTTCTGCTGAAACTGTCTCCCCAAGTCAACTAACTCAACCTGGGTATATGGGACATAGGTGGTAAATTGGGTCACCTGTGGACTGCCCACTGGTTGCCCACCTGGTCCCGTAGGCTCCTTGTGTTTCACTTTCTAATGCATTACAGGTCATGCCTGGGGATGCATGGTCACTCCTAACTCACCATTGGGTTTGTCGTCCTGCCTGGTGTGAGAAGCAGGAGTGGCCAGTTGCTGCACATCATCCTCCAGGACATCTATCCATGCTTCCAACAACTCTGCTTTCCTCTTTGAATCTTCCAGTAGCTGCACGTCATCCACCAACAACTCTGCTTTCCACTTCAAATCTTGATCAGTTAGCAGCAGAGTGAGCAAAAGCCAGGCTCTGGTCAGCAGAAAAGTGGCCACTGGGCACCACACGCTCAAGGACAGCCACATTTCCTCCCCCTCCCAAGCAGCTTTCTGCTTCAGTGCCTGGTCTATGCTGCCTTGCATTACAGTGAGCAGCAGCCAGATCCCGGTCAATAGGAAAGTGGCCATGGGGCAAAACATGTTCAAAAGTAGCCACATTTCCTCCTTTTCCAATGACTTCTTGGCTACTGCACCTGCTCAGAATCCTGCACTGACTACGTCAATTGTGACCTATCCTGCCGACTACGCCAATTGTAGAGCTGGAGCTAGGGTCTGGAGCTCACAGACCCCTCAAGCCCATTCACAAACCCTTCACATGCAGGTCTATGAGCTAGGTAACTGGCAAAAAGGTCCTTGGAGCCTTGGTTGAAGTAGGAATAGTCTTTATTCAGCACATACAGCTCTATGAGCTAGGCAGTACAAAGGGAAATTCAGAAACTCAACTGCTACTGGCAAAGTCCAAAGAAAAACTGAAACTGAGCAGCTGCCAGCAGAGTAAACATGCTCTCTTGTTAGGCGCGAGCTCTCTGCCACCAGCCTGCTTCGCAAACTGCAGAACACACAATAGCTACAAAACTAAAAAAATACATTGGCACACATGTGCACTAACTCCACCCTCACACAACCTGTTTACAAGAAATGTCGAGGGAGCCTGACTAAATTATCCTATTTTCCCCACAGTCAGACATAAGCCAAGTAGTTTGCATGTGTTAACTCAGTCCACATGACAACTTAAGTAAGTTCTATTATATTCCCATTTTACAGACAAGAAACTGAGGCATGGATTGGTTAAGTAACCTTCCCAAAAGTTATGCACTTGGTAAAACTAGAATTCTAACCCAGGCAGTCTGATACAAGAAAATGGGATATCATTCATCACAGCCCAAAACCGTTTTGGTTTTGGTCAGCACTTTTTTTCATTTAAATGAATTTGAATGCTTTTAGAAGGGCCTTTGTACTCTACCATTTGTCTACCTTATTATTTTACATTCTGCAGTTTTTACCCATTCATCTTGCCTACTTAACTCATGAAGGGATCTGAATTTGTGGTACCTATGACTTTTATCTATGAGATTAAGATACTTTGATAATTAGTCATGTATTATGAAAATATTATTAGATTAAAAAAATTTCAGTGACTAATACAATTATATTTTTAGTCTAGACAAAATCCTATTTCATAAAATACTGTTTTAAAAGTTTTGCATAGGAACTATTTCTGTTTACTTGCAAATTATTCAGCAGATATATTAAGGAATATTAACATAAAATGAAATAGTTATATTGATATAGTCCTATCCCTTAACAGTTAGTTAGATTCTTACTGAAGTGCAAATTGGAGTATACTTTGGTGGATAGAGGCAAGGATGAATGAAGTGGGGATAAACATTTTTAAACCACATGAGGCAAGTTAATAGTAGAGATTGGGCTAAAGCCAGATTATGAGATATCTAGTATAATTTCAGCAAGAGATATATATCGTACGTAGAGCTGCACTGTCTCACTGCTTAATTTCTTCTTAGTGACTCCAAGATTTACCTATGTGTACAAATTTAACATAATGTCTTCAAAAAACAGTCCATCTTTTTTCATTTCCTTTCCTTTATACTGCTTGCTTACAAGCTGACACAGTTCTTAAATAGCATACAAAATGTCAAAAACATTTTAACTTACCCTTAAATATTATAGGAATAGGTTTTTGTTTGTAATGTTTTGAATTTAATAATGAAATGTGATATTCTTTCAACCAAATTGAAATTATCTGATTATTGTTCCCATTTTCAGAAAAGTGAGAAATGTATCTAGAATCCTCCATATTCACAGCCTCCAAGATCTGAAGTTTTTGATTAAGTATACTGAAACAGGAGTCTCTTAGATATTACTAAATGCCTTCCACAAATTTAAGTCTCTCAGTTGGTAGGTTGGTATCTCTCTGTGAAATTGATATATTTATTCTTTTTTTATCTGTAGTATTTTCTTAACAGTGCATAAAAAGAGAAATTTAAAATTAGGTACTTTTACGTGTTTATTGTTAAAATTAAATTTGTCTCCCCATATTTGAAGTGTAAAATTTATAGATCTGTATAGTAGAAACTATATGTGTACATTGTTTAATTGTTTTCTTTATTTACAGCATTATGGAACATAGTAGTAATGATTTGCATTATGAATGTATGATTCCTTGTCAAGTTACTTCTGACTTAAATAAAGAGAAGACAATAGCATTTCTTCTAAAAGAATTGGATATTCTGAGAACAAGCAATAAAAAGGTAAAATATAGAAAGTCTGATAACAGTACAGTATGATTTTGCAGTTGACCTTCTAAGTTTGCTTTATTGCCTATCGTAGTTTAGTTTTATTGTGTACTTTAATTATTTAACAGTAGCTTTATGTTGCTGCCATACTTTGCCATCAGAATATGGTTAAATTAAGGAACTAGCTATGAAAAGTTAGTTTCCTGCCTTGCTGGTCTGCATTATCACTGCCTTTTTCATAAAACTCTGGTTCTTTGCATTAAGTAACTAAAAAAAAAAAGGTGCATTCAAATTTCACTGTAGTAAAACTGCTTCAGCACTATGGAGAATGAGAAATATTATGCACTGGTTTCATGTTACTTTCTCCTTTTTTAAAATTAGCATCTGTGCCCTCCCTGTATTCTACCTCAGTAATATATGTATTAAACCTTTAAGTAGCAAGGCTTGGCAATATTGTCATTTACCTTGTGTTTTCTTACAGTGTTGCATTTTGTCAAATCCAATTTGTCATGTCATGTTTTATCTTTTCTGACCCTTATTCTAGTTACATTCCTGTGAACATTAAATAATGTTATTAAATAATGTTCATTTTCTGTGCCCACTTTTTTTTTTTAACCTCTTTGTACTTTTCTGATTTTAATATTTTAGTTGTTTGACCTAATCAAACTGAAGGATGATATTAGGAATGTTGATCATGTCTGAAGGAAATGACAAAAGCCTAGGAAAGAATTAAAAAAACATTTGGAGGGATTCCATATGACAGCATGAGATATGTTCTCTACTTTCATTTAGCAGTTATTTATTACATGCCAATTATGAATCAGATGCCAGTGCAAGTTAAAATGAATATGATGGGACAGCATTCCCAAAAGGAGATTTGTATCAGATATTAAGATTATTATCTTAATTTTGTTTTAAAATATTTGAATTACTAAGAGAAGCTGTAAAGCTGTGCTGTCCATTATTTTATTAGGAAAAGTCCCTTTCAGATCTTTTGCTATAAGACAGAAGAATGGATGAAATTGCTTTTGTAGTAGTTATTTTTAATAATAATAATGTTGTTCCTCTTAATTTCATTCACCTATACACACATAAATTAAGAACACATTAGAACATTTTTATAATGTTTATATCATTACAGGTAATTATTACTTTATGCAATATGTTACAGCATTTAAATTTTTTTGTAGTTATGTATTTAGACAATTAAATGTAATTTTATGTAAGGGCTTAGGATAAAACAAAATTTAACTTTGGAATTAATTATATTTGTGTAAGATTGTCAGATAAGAATTACATTTTTTTCCAAATATGTTTAGCTACAAGAAAAACTGAGTAAAGAAGATTATGAACAGAGAAAACTAAAGCTTAAGCTGGAACTCCAAGAGAAGGCCACAGAAGCTAAAATTGCTGAAAAGACAGCAGGTATAGTAGATGAATATTAACATATGGTCTTAAGAATCACACACAAAGTTATTATATTGATGTGTCTTGGTGAATACTAGCATACCGGCTTATTTGCCAAAGGAGGGAAAACTCCATTTTTTTTTTTGGCTGCTTAGAAAATAGGTGGCTTTAACATCCTGGTACTGGTATTAGTGAGAGCTTTACCTGTATTCATACTGATTTGGGCATTAAATGCATTGTTAACACCATGTCAATCCAATCACAAAAAGGTTGTTTGTTTTGTTGGAAGGGCCTGAACAAACAAGGGGAAATAATGATTACCAGTGCTTCTACCTTTCAACCAGCAGTTCAAATACCGCTTATTGTTTTAGCTCGTTGAGAGGAAATACTTCTCCTTTGTATGAAGATGGTCATATATTCATTGCCAATGGAAACCTACATTTGGTTCATAAATCTGTTTTGTGCAGTTAATAAGTTTTCCATCTGATGATAGAGATAATGTTTTCCCTGAGATTAAAGTGAAAGGTTGCCAAAGTTTAAGATTATAAATGACTGTCTTAAATATATTGAAGTCTATCTTTACTCACAGGTCTTTGCAAGGAGAAAATTTTTAAACGTATCTGTGAAATGTTATAGATATGATCAAATGATTCTCAGTGGTCTATGGTCTACATCTGTGCGTGCCACTGTGACTTCCTCCTTCACATTGTTTTATTGTGTTAAGGAAAGAGAAATTTCATGGAATAATACACATTAGCATATGGAGGCATTTTGGAACACTTATCTTAACATTTTTATCTCAATTGGAATGATTTAAGAAACAATTGTATTTTATGTTTAGTCTGAAGAACAGTATAGGACTAATTAAATGTAATAAATTCTTTGTTTCTTATAACACAAAAGAAAAACTAATCCATATATGCATGGTTGTTTTCTATCAGTGCTTATTTTTATATGCAAAATAAAAAGTGTATTTGATAAAAATGTTATATGTGCACACATATAAATATTGTAATGTACTTAATTACAAATAAACTATAATTAAATTAAACTGTTCCACATTAAAAGAATTACTTGTAAAAACATCTGAAATAGCAAATAGGATACAAAAATGTATGTCTGTAGATTTTAAAATGTTAATTAAAAATATGAGGTACTTGAAGGAAATAGTAGGTATTTCCTTAGAGTATATATAAAGATTTTTATGTAAAGATATTTATATAATACTAGTTAGGATAGCAAGAGAATTAAAAACAATCTAACAGTAAGGGAATTGTTAAATTATGGTACAGCCCTCTGGAGTATTGATTCTAGGACTTCTGTGAATACCAAAATTCTTAGATGCTCAAGTTCCTTATATAAAATGATGTGGTATTTACATATAACCTATGTACATCCTCCTGTATACTTTAAATTATCTCTACATTACTTATAATACCTAATACAATGTGAATGCCATGTAAATAGTTATACTGTATTTTTTATTTGTATTATTTTTATTTTTGTACTGTTACTTTTTATTGTTGGGTTTTCTTTTTTCCACCCGAATATTTTTCATCGGTGGTTGGTGGAATCCGCCAATGTGGAACATACAGATACAGAGTGCAGGTTGTACATTTATGCTTTAAGACATTGTGCAGTAATTAAAAACTATTTCTGAAGAATATTTGATGATATGAGAAAATCTTCATAACTCAGTGTTAAGTTAAAGAAGTAGGGGAAAACTTGATTCACATTTAAATCACAGCTTTGACACTTAGTATTGACTATAGCCTTTGAGCAAGTTACTTAGCCCCTCCAGGCTTACTTTCTCCCATGTAAAATGTGAATATGAACTAATTTACCAGATTATTTTGAGGGTTAGAGATAATATATAGACGAACCTAGTATATAACTAGTACTCAGTAAGTTTTAGCTAATATTAATATTATTTCTTTTACCTTTATGAAATTTTTTTTTAAGCTTTTTTGTTTTTTAATTTTTTAATTGTATATTTTTATGGGGTGCAGTTTGTTGTTTCAGTAAATGCATATATTGTATAATAATCCAATCAGAACAGTTAGCATATCTATCACCTAAACATTTATCATGTTGTTGTGGCTATAACATTTAAGATCTTTTCTGACTATCCTGAAATATACAATACAATATCATTAGCTGCAGTCATCCTAGAGCACCAGAACTTATTCTTCCTATCTAACTGTGGTGTAGCTTTGTAACTTTGTACCCTTTACCAACCTTTCCCCTTCCCCCTCCCTTCTTTACCTCTGGTAGCCTCTATACTACTATTTCTTTTCTTTTCTTTCTCTTTTTCTTTTTTCTTAATTGACCTTTATGAAATTCTTAAACCTTTGATACTGTCATTAGTGCCAGAAGTTGTGGCTTAGCTTTTAATTAAAAACTAATGGCTTACTTTTAACAGGTTTTTAAAGGGAAATAAACTGAAAAATGGGTGAAAAAATTTGGAAACAAAGGATTGGATTACAAGGAAGATTGCTGTTGATATATATATATATTTAATAGCCTTAATACATTTTACTAAAATGTGAATCCATAATAAAAGAAATGGGATAAAAAGGATTTGGGCTTTAATGCAGTGTGTACCTATAGTAAACCTTCATGTACACTGTTATTTAGCTGTTTCCTTTGTTTCCCTGTTGGTTTTTACATAATGTAAATACTTTCTTTCTAATGTGATCTTATGAGAGTTTGAAACTCAATTGTGTGAAACTAATGAGAAATTCATGGTAAAAACCTAATAGGGTTGACCCTTTTACCTTTTCCTCTTTTCTTACATCACCATCATCATTGTCATTATCATTACCATCGATACTGTTTATTAGACACTTAAATGTTTCATAGGAACTATGCTAACTTCTTTACAAATCAAACAAGAAATATTTATTGAGGACTCATATGGGCTAGGCACTATGTACTGAATATACATCAGCCAATAAAACAGATTTGGGATTTCAAGCATTTCTTTTTGCCTGCAATCACTTCTTTATCATAATACACTGTACATATATATGTAGTGGTTAAATACTCACTCTTTGGATTCAGACCTTTTTTCTTATCTTTCTTCCACTTATGTGTCCCGCATGTATAATGACAGCTTCACAAAGCATTGGTTAAAACCTGCTATATGTTGCTGTGACATTTAAGTGAGATCATATTTATAAAGGAGGCTTGACTTATAGGAGGCACTTGATACCATTGGTAATTTTGATAAGTTGATGTTGTCACCATCTTGTTTTCTCAAGACTTCTTTATCTCGTAGGGGATATAGTCAAAGTGTTCCTAATGGTTGTGTACTAATATAAATAATTATCCCATAACTATCCCAGTTATTTGTATATGGTTTTATTTCACAAATAATTGTATTTCTTTTTAAAAATTGTTTATAAAGCATTTTTATTTATTTTTTTATCCCCATAGTTTTTAGTTTTTCCTTGATTTTCAGATTTAACCTAATTTAGAGAGTTTGAATCTCTCCAAAAAAGAAAATAAAAGAAAACGTGTATGATAAGTAGATCTTACTTAGTTCTAGGAAAAGCTGAAATGACCACCTCACTCCCTATGTGCTAACATCGGGAAAAATTTATCTCGTTGTAGCTGTTCAGGACTTTTTACTGTGTTTTGACTCATTAAGTAATTCATATGGATAATATTATTTGAGAATCGTTAATATGTATGACCTTCAAATATTAGGGGATATTTTAGAGAAACACAGCAAAAACATTGAATCTTTGTCCTTTAGGTAAATATGTATCTCTTCTCACCTAAAAAAAAAAGTAATTAAACCACAAACATTTCAAAATTTGTTTTGGGTAAATTGAGTTTAAAAATGAGAGATAGTATTGAATGGCTTGATTTCTATGCATTAATCTGTGCTTATGTCAGTACTTTGTTTATAACTTTTAAAAATTGCTTTTTCAATTAAACCTTTCAGTTTTCCTAAACAGTCTCAGTGGGCATTGTCTAGTGTTTATTGTTTCTTTAATTTTTATTATTCTATTGCACTTACAATATACAGATGATTAAATTTTACGTAAAACAGTATTTATTTAAATAGCTTCTCAAAGTTATTTTGTGATATTTAAAATATTTGTATTTCTTTAAAAGCCTTATTTTTCTATTTCTTAAAAGCTCACTTTAGAGCTTCTGCTTTATATGTTAGTTATTTTTCTTTCTTGCATGTCATCCATTAAAGATTAGCTGTGGAAGGTTGGAGCATGGAGAGATTATGAATGACAGAACAACTCCTGTAGAATAATAATCAGTTTTAGGTATTTAATGCTGTTTGACTTTTGCAGACACATTTCTTATTAACCTTTGGTACAAAGAGAAATCCAGGTTCCTGATATCTCATGGAGAAGATGAATTTGAGATCCTCTTCCAATTAAACTGAAATAAAGCCAATATTAGGTTTTAGCTGGAAGAACTCCTTAGTTCCTAAGTCTTATGTTTATAAGTCTGTCTGTCTGTCTGTCTGTCTATCTATCTATCTATCTATCTATCTATCTACCTATCTATCTATCTATCTATCTATCATCTGTCTATCTATCTATCTATCTTACTGCATTTTAACATTTAATTCAATGGTTACATAATTTGCTTAGCTTATGTGTACTGATGATGCAAGCATATCTGCTTTTTCTCTTGAAACATAGATTCCTTTCTCTGCACCCAAATTTAGATTGATATTTTGTAAATTAAAAAAAAAAATATTGTCAATCCCTTCTTATTACAGAGAGTGCTAACTTCTTTTAGTAGGGAAGAGAGGGGTTTAATTGTGATTGTCCAAAGGATCTGAACGTAGAATTACTGCAAGTTTTTCTGTTCAGATTAAAATATAAATGTCAAAAATAAAGATATGTAATCTCCTATTACAGCAAATATATCAAGACATCCTAATTAATAATATGGAAAAGTAAAAATTGTTATATAATATAAAATGTTTACATTATTATTTTGCAAAAAGATTACTATATGCCATATCTCAGATAATGTCGACA